AATTACACACACTAAATATAGGAGTTCTGATATTTTCAAGTGATGGTAGCTGCATGCCTCTGTGATGCATAAATAAACATGATCATATTTTCATAGTGTATCAGTTTTGGAATCAAGAACACTTCCATTCAATATACGGCATGATCTAAACTGAACAATAGCTTATTTTTCGCACCACAGATGTTTTATATTTCCCAGTAGTCCCTCATCTCTTCATATACAGTCTCTTCATTTGAATGCTTCATGCCACAGACCCTCCACTGCTTTTGAAACTTGAATTATTAAATAGTATTAGGATATAATCCCTAGGAGAGAGTTATATTTACTGCTCTATGAATCATTAAGAAGTATTAGACTATCATCCCTAAGAGGCAGTTATATTTACCTCTATTAATGGCCATCTCTCTTCAGCCTCTCACACCGGTCAATTATTCAGTAGTGAGCTGCAGAAATCTGTGTGAGCCACCCGAGTGCTTCATCACAGGAAGCATTGAAACACAACAGTGCAGAGATGATGGGATTCATAAATGGATTTATACAGGAATAGTGGAAAAGAACGAAATGGGGTGGGATGTCATGTGAGGATTGTTGACAGCAGGATCTTAGTAGTAATGCGTGGCTGTACTCAGCTCTCATGTTTGTGCACTCTACCAAAGACATGCTTTTACTGGGTCCGTCTCAAGACACAAAGCGCAATGCAAACACGCGTGCACACTAACACGCGTGTACATACATACACGTGCAAAAACTAACAAACAAACTGAGTGAGAGAGTGGAAATAATATCCAGTCTACTGTGTGGCTCAGAGACAGTATCCACATAGCAAACCTGACACTCAATATTTTGCCTTGTGTTGTGATAATTCTGTTCCAGTTTCAGCATTCTGTGAGCAGAACTGCTGACAAACAACACAAAAAAAATACTGCACCAAGAACATGATTTTCCAAAATCAAATGAATATTTCAAACTTGCCCTTGTTTTATGATATTTTGGCTCGAGCTGTTCTCTCTCCTCCTGCCACAGGGCCCACCTGGAATGCCTGGAGGAGTTGGTCAGCCTGGACTTGTTGGAGAGAAGGTCAGCATTTCCCATTAGTAACTACACATCTTGTGCCTGTTCACATACAGTAGAATAATGGTGGTGGTGGTGTGTGTGTGGGCTTTTGTGGTAATGTGTGTGTGGTATGTTTTTATCTCACTGAATGTTCCTTCTCTATCAGGGTGAAGACGGAGAAGCTGGAGACCCTGGGTCAGCTGGAGAGCTTGGCATTGCTGTGAGTTGCTTCTACCTCTACTTCCTGTCTCGCTCAATCTCATCCTTTCTTCACTGTCTCTCTTTATCCTTTCATTGATCATATTTTCATATGCTGGTGTCCCAGGGTGCTAGAGGCGATGTGGGCGAGAAAGGTGACTCTGGCCCTCCCGGTGCAGCTGGGCCTCCAGGACCCAGAGGAACACCAGGGGAGGATGGACCCAAAGGCAACCTTGTGAGTCTTTGTTTCTCTGGATCAGTGACTTTTTTTTCTGTTAATGTCATGCCATTCATATAATGGTTTCTACTTCTACCTTGTTTTTTTTCCATAGGGCCCTATTGGATTCCCTGGAGATTCAGGACCCCCTGGAGAACCTGGGGTCAATGTGAGTAGTTTTGTTATTATTATTTCATCATGCATTTATAATTAACTTATTGTTAAGTAATTTCTTCTGCATGACATTTTTTTATTTAGGGATTAGATGGTGGACCGGGGCCTAAAGGAGACAATGGAGAACCTGGCAAAGCAGTAAGCTGTCTTTTTTTTCACTTGCTGCAGAGTCTTTATTCTCTGTAATATATTGATGTTTTGCTTCTTCATCACAATGACTGGCTTTTTTCTCAGTGTTTTTGTGACTGAGTGGGAATGTGTTTCTTTTTTTTTTTTCTGTTCCCTGCAGGGACCTGCAGGAGCCTCTGGAGAGCCAGGTCCTACAGGACCTCCTGGCCGTCGGGTGAGCACAACATATTGCATATGTTTGTGTGCATGCATGTGTATGTATGTATATATGATTGTTTTTAGTTGAAAGCTTTTCTCAGCAAAGTTGTCTTTCTCAACCCCAGGGTCATATAGGTGCTGCAGGAAAAGAAGGGAAGCAAGGCATGAAGGGAGCCAAGGTAAGGATAATGACTGCTACTGAGCTCCCTGGTTATGTATAGTGCCTTCCAACAAAGACTTTTTGATTTATTGTGCTCCTAATGCTTTGCTGTATGTGTCTGTCCTTCTGCTCTGTAGGGGACGATGGGAACCCAGGGTCCAGTGGGAAAGACAGGCCCTGTGGGACCCCAAGGGCAGCCAGGCAGGTCTGGCCCAGAAGGCCTTCGAGGCATCCCAGGTCCCGCGGTTAGTACACAGTCTAAGCCTGAAAGCAGTATCATTACAGGAACACACTGTCATCAGAATCATCAGAATTTACACAACATTCCTGTTTGTGTTTATTCAATGTTTCAGCATGCAGAAGCTAAACTCTAACTCATGTGCTTATTTTCCAGGGTGAGCAAGGGGTAAATGGGCCACCAGGACAAACTGGACCACCAGGACCAATTGTAAGATCCTCATATTTTGCTGTTGACTGAGGCCATTAAATTATTTTTGGGACATTTATAATAATAAATCATAACCTATCCATATTTCATATACAGAGTCTACAACAGCCAGCTAATAACTAATACATCTGACCTTGTTAACAGGGGCCACCAGGACTTCCAGGATTAAAAGGAGACCCTGGAAACAAGGGAGATAAAGTGAGTGTTTAAGAGATAAAACATTCTTTACTAGTCTCAGCCCTGAGAAGCAATGGTGATGAACCATGTCTCTGTCTGCAGGGTCATGGTGGGTTGATCGGTCTAATTGGACCCCCAGGAGAGCCTGGGGAGAAGGGAGACAGAGGCCTGCCTGGGAACCAGGGTACACAAGGGCCTAAAGGAGATGGGGTACATATCTTTGCAGCATGATGCATCGGATACACAAATATTACACAAAGGAAGTTCAGTTCACGTAACAAGATATTCTTGTCCTTTTATCAAGGGTATGGCAGGCCTACCTGGTCCTACTGGCCCACTGGGACCACCGGGACTCTCAGTATGTGACACAGCTATTACAACAATGTGCATGCTTTTATATGATCAATGTATGAACAAGCTACCATAGCTACCATACTATACTATTCAGCTACACAACAAGAAGCAGTAGTGATCAACAGACAGGTTGCAGGCATACTGCGTGTTGCAGTGAGAATGTCCATTGTTTTTGGACAGTTTTTATGTAAGATAGACTGATAAACCTTTTAAGCCAAATTGCTCCATCAGTAAGCTCTATCAATTAGTCAAAGCAGTAAGAGATGCATAAGATTGCACAAGTGCAAGTGTACATTATTACTACCTTGGATAATAAATGTAAAATAATCTGCCTTTTCCTTTCAGTGGAGTGTTGAAACTTTTTGGTGAGATATGTCTGGGAACTAATTTATGCAGTAGCTGCATATCAGAATTGTTAATAACATAACCAGACAGTAGTTTGAAACTGTAATTGTATAGTAGTTTATACCTGTGTTCTGCTGTATCTTCTTAATGCAGATGTAATTGTATCTTGAGCCACCCTTTTGCAAAGATTCTGCAAGTATAAAACAAACAGATGCAAAATACACGTCAAGAGAAGAACTGAGAGGCAATAAGGCTTTTAGATACTGTTTCTCACTTGAAGAAAATGAGTACAGTCATTACAGTACATACTACAGTATAACTGCAAATCAGTTAAACTGAAAGTCAGTGTACCTTAATATAATACAATACTGAAAGGTTGTATAAGATTTTGAGTCTTAAGGATTTAGCTGATGATTCCGTCTGCAAAGAGCTAAGCACCGGTTCTATCCACAGATCATACAGTCCTGTTATTAGTCATTGTTACTCAGTAGTGAAAGTAATAATTTTGACCATAACCTGCCATGTCGCTAAGCAGGTGCCTGATTTTCCAGTGAATAGCTGATTTGTATTTTGCAGTTATTTGAGTAATTAGATAGTAATTATATCTTTTTACTGCTTACTTACTACTCTTCTCCACTTTTAGGGTGCAGCTGGTGAGAAAGGATCTAAGGGAGAAATGGTAAGTCCAGTAATCTGTCTTATTAATGCATTGCCATTCCTATACTCACACCTCAGCTTGGTTAGCAGCTGCTGGGAACATATGCTGGGGAAGAGAGAAAAAGTGTATTTGTTGGCTTAAATGTACCATGCTTCATAATCATAATGCTCTACTGTGTTTACTGCATGTCTTTGGAACTAAAAGCCTGCTGTACAGCCACGCTTGCCTTGTGTGTGATTTTTCCATTGGGCCCTTTTAATAGGATTTGGTTGTGGTGTGTGTGATGTTATGAAAACCACTATAGTCTGTCTTGAGAGCCAAGGCTTTGACCACAGAGTGCTGATGCACACAGCTGGATAATCCTATAAAGCAGCAACCATATCTGCCTGGATAACGCTGGGATTTTGCCAAGTGGTGTGAGTGAGGCTCCAGGTGAGACATGATTGACACAAAGTTTTGTCCTCTTCTATTCTTCAGGGTGTCGTTGGTCCCAGAGGAGATCCTGGCCCTGCTGGCCCCCCAGGACCCCCAGTAAGTACCGCCAATAAGCCACATCATGGCTTACTCTGTGCCAGCTTTATCCTTTTTCTTCCTTTACCTCTTGCTCACCTTTGTGTGCTACCTCCAGGGACCTCCTGCAACTATGATTGAGCCCCTGCCGATCAGGGAGGGTAGGCGGAAGAGACGAAGGCACTCTGAACGGGGAGGAGGAGCAGCTCCATCCAGGAAGGAGGATATGGATCTGGATGTGGAAGAGTTCCTTCAAGGAGATCAGCCTCTGGAAGACGCTGAGGGAATGGAAGAAGTCTTTGCCACCCTATCTTCCATGAAAACAGAAGTGGAGGTGATGAGGAGGCCCCTGGGAACGTTTGAGAGCCCTGCCCGAACCTGCAAAGAGCTCATGATGGTCCAACCTCACTATAAAGATGGTTAGCAAAGACATTGCTTGATAATTGATGCTTATTTCACCACCCTAAAGGTTTAATCCAAGAAAAACTAGTCCATAAAAAGAACACCTTTCCAGTATGCACATATCTTCTAATATGTTGCCAGCTGCAGGTTATCATCTTGTTACCCTTGATCTGTTAATTATATCAACATCTGGTGCTTGATTGATACCCTTTTTCTGTGCACTTTGTAGGAGACTACTGGATTGATCCTAACCAGGGCTGTCACAGGGACTCCATCAAGGTCTACTGTAACTTCACAGCTGATGGGGAGACATGTCTCTACCCTGACAAGAGGATTGAGATGGTAAATCTCCAATCTCTTGCTGTCAGCCCTTACAAAGCCGACCTCGTCATATTACATCAGAGCACAAATCACTCCCTACATCCCTTGAGCCTAACATTTTACTCAACAACCTCCCTCTCTCTCTCTGTGTATCTAGGTGAAATTAGCAGCGTGGAACAAAGAGAAGCCAGGAAGCTGGTACAGCCAGTACAGGAAAGGCAAGCAGGTACAAAAAAATAAATAAATAAATCAAACCTCACCTCACCTCCTACCATTAATCTCAGCCGGCTCCAAATGTCAGGCAGTCTTTTTCAGCTAAATTACTCATCCTAATTGAGAGTGTTTGAATTATATTCATGCATATGATTGAGGTGCAAGCATGAGTGTGTTCACAATGAACGTGTAGGGATGCTTGTGCGTGTTCATTCATGTGCACATGACTTCTTGTGAATGTTTTTTGGTTATTTGTAAATCTACGCATTGTATAATTTGTTATTAATTTATTAGACCATGTGCAATGAGAGAGCTGATTTGATGTTGCAGCTTATTTCAGCAGCGATGACTCACACAAAGCCATTGGCAGCTCTGTCTCATTGAGAAGCATTCAGGGCAGCACGCTTAGAGCACTGGCCTTTCATGTGCACCTGATCAGAGGTCTCATAACCCTCTCAGATAATCACAGAGCTACCAGCACAATTGCAATTCACTGACTTCCTCACACAAAGTCCTTGAATCGGCTGTTTTTTTCTTTCCTTAATTTCCTTACTTCCTACTTCCTACTACTTTCCCTGGCTGTTCTGATTGTGAAGAAGTTGCTGCAACTTTTTCACCCTCACCGCTTACGTAAACTCCCTCATCAGCAAAAGCTGGGAGATTTGTAATTTCATGTTTGTCTGACAGATTATAGGCTAAGACAATGTTTTTCTGTGGCTTCGTCTTTTTTAGTGAAAACCTGTTTTGGTGTATTTTTTCTCATTGAGAGAGCTTTTGTGTCTTTTAAGGGTAGTGCTGTTTTAAAGTGGTGGCTTTAGTACATATTGTCTTTCTCATGCTCTTGTAGTACACTAATGTCTATGTATCTGTTACATCCAGTTCTCCTACAATGACAGGGATGGGAACCCTGTACATGTAGTTCAGCTGACCTTCCTGAAACTACTGAGTGCCACAGCCAAGCAGAGCTTCACCTATACCTGCCAGAACTCTGCAGGATGGTTTGATACCACCTCACGCTCCTACCAGCGTGCGCTCCGCTTCCGGGGCAGCAATGACGAGGAGCTGACCCAAGCCAAAAGCCCCTTCATCAATGCAGTCCATGATGGATGCCAGGTCAGTGCAGGGAAAGGAACAAGATGGATGGATTAGAATTAAGCTTAATGAAACTAATGTGTTGTGTTGTGCTCAGCTGGTTCTTGATTTAAGTTGGTAGGCATCAAATCACCGACTAGAGTAGAGATTTGGGCCAGAATGGGTGGGTAGAGCTAGTTAGTCAAATTAAGCCGAGAAAAAATTCTGATAATGGCTTTAATTTTTCTCTTTCAGTTCCGCAAAGGTCAAGAAAGGACTGTTCTAGAGATTGACTCCCCCTCGGCAGAGCTGCTCCCTATTATAGATGTGGCTCCAGCAGACTTTGGCAACAGCAACCAGAAGTTTGGATTCCAAGTTGGACGAGTATGCTTCAATGGTTAACATCTTGCCAACAGCAAACAAAAAACAAAAGACACACCAAGCAAGCAAGATTTCAGTAAAATAAACTGGACTTTTACCACTCCCTCAAGCAATATTTATTATATTATGTTCCTGTATGTGGTGGGTTTGTGGTATTTTATTTAAGACTCTTCAACAGCCAATGAAATAGGTTCTACGGCTTTACAACAATGAGAAGACTGGTGAGAAAGCGGATATGCAACAGTGGGAACAAAGCACATTTACCAAAGGGAAATGTTCCAGTTAGATATATTTAATTTTAAGTGTTTTTGTTGTCTTTTTCTTTCACTGTTTGAGTGTGCTGTATCCTCCAGAATTCTGTGGACTGCACCACTTGATGATGACCACTTATAAACAAGACAGATCTGTCTGATCACGGAACAGAGACAGTCTGTCATTCTATGGTCTGGGTCAGTTAAGTGAAACTTTTCAGACCATGGATGAACTAGTTGCTACCTAATGTTTTACATAGACTGCATCTGAATAAATCAGAGACACAGTCATACTCATTTGCATGCTCAGATTTCACTATAATGACAATTGCATAGCAGTTGTGAACTAGCCTAGCATATTAATTGCACACAAGCACAGTAATTAATTTCCTGTGTGCAAGAATGATAAATTGTCCTTTTTATCCTTCAACTGCAGTTTGCTCAGTGAATTACCTTGATTAGTATTCAATAGGCATAGCTAGTTATTGAACCCGACACTTACTTGAACGGATAAGGTTGTTTCCTTTATTGGACTGCTTCCCTCCATGGGCTCGATAATAAGCTTTTTAAGGTCCTATATGTGTCCAAGGACTACAGTACTGTATTTGTCATACTAACATCCTTTATACTGTGGTATATACTTGCTATGACATACCTCAGCAACTAGGTTGGGGGTATTTCAGGGCAAAATTAAGGGCATGCTGATTAAAATGTTCTTTAGTCTTAACTGCAGTCCTTTATTCCAAGAGACATTTCACGCATCTCTTGAAAGCATTTTATGCTATGCTGACATAACCTGTTTTCACTTTTCTGCCCTACTCAGAGGTTTTTGTTTCTCTGTTCTGTTCACATGTTGAAATTTCAACTGAATATGTTGCTGTGTATCATGTGACATGATTTGCTCTTCAGTGGTGCTAAAGATGATTCTGTTTAGTTTTTTTTGTCACTGTGCATGTGTGTCTCGGTGGGCAGGATTATAGGGCTAGAGAGGGAGAGGGTTATTGCTCTTTCAGCAGCACGAAACACCCTCAGAGGCTGGGGAGTAGTCTACTGTGTTTTTTGCACATCTTCTGGCTGATTGTACCAATTTCACAGGGCCAGTGAAAGGAGGTTAGGGACAGTTCAGAGCAATGTGGTTGATCGCTTTAAAAGGAAAATCCACTCTTAACCTGAATTTACATTGTGCCGTTCTGCTGATTTTGGATATTAAATCCAGAATCTATGAATACAGTGAATACAGACAATTGTCTACCTACAATAGAAATGATGGCATCATGAGATAAAAATGAAAAATTGATAACTCTGATTTGTTTTTAATGCTTCCTTTAAATCACTTTTAAGATTTGTAGCGTCAATCCCAGTACAATTACCGTGGGTGCTATCATAGTGCTGTTCCATACAGTGGAGCAGCTGCAGAATTTGTTTATAGATGACATTATTACTACAGTCTGTCTCTGCATGTCAGCTTAAACAGAGACTTCTTCAAATTGACAAATAGAGCTGTGAAATATTGCTGAAACTACATATGTATGTTGATTTTCCCTTTAGCAAATGACATTTCTTAATGCTCTGTCTACCTCCAACTCAAACAGTAGACTGTGTATCCAGTATGTGTAATTTCAATCCCACTGTTCTATTTGTTTCACAGCATTTCAACATTCCAGTAATTAACTCCTCTCCTCCTGTCCCATCCTGCACTTCCCCTCCTGTGTATAGTGTTTGTTGTACTAATTTTATATACTGTACAGTTATTCTGAGGACTTTATGAGCAGTAACCTGTTGCCTGAATGAAAAACAAGTGTATTTGTCAAAAATTGATGTGCGAATTAAAACAAATAAGAAATCATTCTATTTTCCTATTCCTCTCCAGACCCATGTAGCTGGGTTAGAACAATATCCACTAAAGCATGTGGCTGCAATGTCCAGTCAGTAGACAAACAAGGCTCTTCATTACCAACTAGTTCTGCAACATTCACTCAACAAGCATGCAATCAGAACAGCACCACACAGCCGATGTAATCAACTCTGATTTGCTCCCCAGTTCATTTATTTCAATTAGCCCTGTTTCAGTCTCCTCAAGGGGGAAGGTGGAGTGGAGACAGAGGCGAGAGAAGGATGGAAAGATTGATAGTGAGAACAAGAGAAGAGGTCTAATGAAATGGTTGCAGATAAGAAATGCAACAGTTGAGATTTGTCTGTTTGGTCTATTTGGTGAAGGTAGCAAGAGCTGTGCTGATGTTAAAAGTCATAATGACTACTTTATTTTTCACCAGTGACTGACTGTCTTTAAAACTATTTCATCACATCCACCGTCTCTCTGTCTGTCTACTTATCTTGGTTGCTACCACAAACGCACACACACAATAATTGCTTTTTGCTCCATTCGCAGAGACTCATGCACCTACACACACACACACACACACCTACACACACACACACACACTCTCTCTCTCTCTCTCTCTCTCTCTCTCTCTCTCTCCAAAGCCTATTCTCTCACACATTAAAGTACAAAGCGCTCATCCCCTTTGGGGCCCATTGTTCAAGGTTAGCGTCAATGGCAGAATAAAGGTTACCATGTTATTTTTTTTCTCCTTTCTGCTCTCTTCCACTCAATTGAATTTTAACCACACGAAGCTCTTGACCAGGAAAGGTCATCTGTTGCCACTACCTCAGAATAATGATCAAGCAGAAGAGCAGTGTGACTATCAATATGGTATTTCCACGGTACTATGCCCTTTTCCCTGCACATTCCATCCTCTAGTGACTATAATTCCTGTGACATTGTGTCTCCAAATTCATGTATTTCTTTCGCTGATAGCTAAACCTTTGTTAGATTCTATCACTGTAGTGCTACTGTATACATTATCTATATTCTCTTAATGACAAACTCATATACAAGAATACACATCAGAATTGTGTTGTCATACATGACAATATTTTGTAAACCACTGATAAACAGTCTTGCCACTGCACAGAGATTATTCAGTTTTTAGAAATGCCCTTCATCCACCCGATCCTGGTGCTCAGCTTTATGAAAGCCTATGGAAATGAATTCCCACTAAAATTTCTATTTTATGCTCACAAATACAAGTACAAACATACAACATACACAGAACAATGTTGAAAGGTGTGGATGAATCACTGTCAAATCCCTGTGCCAGAAAAAGAAAGCAATTTAAAATGATATATTGTTTTGCTAATCCTTTCTTTCAGGGATCCCTAAGCTGTTTCATGTTACTGATACTACAAGAACTACAATATATAACACTGCATGGTAGTGGTGGAGATGGCAGTACAAAAAATAGTAAACTTGTCATGTAAGTATCTGTATTCTTTTGAATAATTATTATTTTGTATACTATTAGTATCCAACAAATTTCTAAATAAACGGCTCTTTCTTAACAAGATGCTTTTTGATTGATTCCTTCTTTCCTTAAAAGATGGTTGTGACTTTTGAACCTAATGTCAGTGAAGCAAAAGGTGAATTTAATGCCTCTGCGGTGGAGATAGCCATGGCCTTATGTTTTCGGGTTGTCCATCAGTCCGTCCATTTGACCGTATGTCCATCCATACATCCGTCTCAATCTTGTGAACGTGATATTTCAGGAATGGCTTTTCTTAAGCTTCTGCACAAATGTCCACTTGTACTCAAGGATGACCTGATTTGATTTTAGTTGTCAAAAGTCAAGATCAATTTGACCTCACAAAACATATTTTTGGGCATAACTCTAGAATTGATGTGATAATTATGACAAAATGCCCCACAAATGTTTAATGATACAATGATGAAGCGATGACATGTTTTTATCCAAAAGGTCAAAGGTCAGCTTTACAGTGATATCATAATTTCCTGGAAAAACACTTTATGGTCATTATTCAACACTATAACTCAGCAGGAGGGAAGATTGTGATCACATTTCACAGTTGGTTGGGCACTCAATTGGTGACACTTTTGACTCAAATGTCAAAAGTTTTTCAAAATACATTTTTAGCCATAATTTAAAAATGAACTGCGGTATTTCAGATTTCACACTCATGTTGACTGGGACGACACACTGAGTAAACAATAACTAGCACAGTACAAGCTTTCATCTTTCCATCTCGTCCATTCTGCCTTTTAAGCCAATTTGATTCAGTATGCTTTATTGGCATGAGTGTAACAAAGACAATAGCAAATACCAAAGCATTAAGAAATTGGATTAAAAAATAAAAGAAAAATTATAACTCATAGAATCAAGAAAATATCAGACAACAATAAACACTAGCTCTGCCTCATTCTGAATTTTGAACATTGCCTCTGAAAATGCCAAGAGAAAACAAAAGCACTGCATAGCCATTGTCTACAGGAATCCATCTATACATAGTAATGTACATGTAGTAGTACATGTGTGATGTAGATTCATTGAATCGCATAAATGTATCAACAACATAACTTCCATTTAGCCAAAAGATACACTTCATACCTTATATTATATAAGTCTGGACATATATGGATGTAAACTGCAACTTGACTGTTTGGCAGAGGCACACAACCGCAGGGCGTTAATTCTACTTGTATCTAGATTGAAAGGTTTGCTGAACTCTGCATTATTGTGAAAACACACACCCTGTAGTGCTTTGTCCTTTAATACAATCTGGAAAGGATTGTTATATCTTTGTAGCATCTCTCCTGCTGGGGTGACACACAAACCCTGATGCACTCTGATCTGCAAACATTATTTGTGTGAGATAAAGAATCGCTAAAATTACCTTGTAAGCTTTGCCATATGGATGCGAAAATGTTAGGTGTACTTATGAGCAAAGCTCTTGGCCAAATCATTACTGTTCACTGCTATTCCATCACAGATTTGAGCAGAGCTGTCGGTCTATAGTTGACATTGATGAGATTCTTTTAGGCCCAGGAGTATATTAGTGTAGCCCACTGGCTGGTGGATTCTTAGTTGCTGCATATTGGAAACACGATTGTCTCTCTTATTCCATCTCTCTTCTTTCTGTTCTCTGTTCTCTCTCTCACTCTCTGTCTCTGGTTCCCTCCACTCCACATCTCTGTCTCATTATTCTGGAGCTGAAAATGTTAGAGATGTTTCTTTGTCGTTTGTTGGACTGTCCCTCCTATACTCTCTCTCTTGTTTCTTGCCCTCTGCTCCCCTCCTGTGACATTGATTCTAACTAAGCTGAACGTGTCACAAAGTCACAGTGAGAAATGAACACATTAAACAGACGTTCAGATTAAAGAGAGAGGGTCAGTGGGAATATCTACATTTCTGGGTGTAGAGGGACATTCCCTTGGTCTCAACACATCCACCCAAATCCGGATGTTGTGTCACAGTAGATAACAGCAGACATTATTTTCCATGCCACTGATGTGTGTATGAGTGTGAAAGCTGCTCTCAGTTTAGCATCTTGTACTGTACAAGTTGTGGGGAATAACTTGGATCATCTCTAGCTTGTGCTCAACATGCTCCTCGATGCGTAGGACTTGTATATGTGTCTGTGTGGGTATGTGAAATCATGAGCATTTGCCGCTAAGCAGGGGTGCTCTTATTAGTGTGCATGCAAGCGCCTCTCCTGCCAGGTCCCATCCACAGATCCTTTATCTCAGGAAGGGTGGGGGGAATCATTTCCGCAGATGCCTTTTCCATCAAAGGCGCTTATCGACAAAGCTAACATTAGTAAAGCAGTTTGAAAAAATGACTTAAAGGCGAGGGAGGGCAATAGAAATCCCTAGGCGAGTGGACAAAGAGCACGCTGACGTTCGGATGCCCAAGGCCCTGTGTGTCTGAGAGCGTCAGGCGATTATCTGGCAGACAGAGAGCCCAGATTCAAACGCACAGCTTGAGAACACCCCACCCCCTCCAACACACACACACACACACACACACACTCATTCTTCTTCTAATTTGGCGTCTGCTGCAGCTCTCAACGTCCACTGCCACAGCCACAACCACTATACTGCTGTCATGCCATCCTCACTTAACTTAGTCCTCCGTAAAAGTAGGACTGAGTTTTCTGCAAGCTCCCAAGACAGCCAAAGTAATCAGTGGTGTCTTATTTACCACAGTGGGAGAGGGACACGGAGAGAAATAGGAGAATGAGAGAGCAGGAAGAGAGCAGGAAAAGAGAGAAAGAGAGCGACAGTCATTCACCAGACAGGCTTGTGTTGTATGAATCACTCAGGCCAATTTAGACATGCACAGCTGTTCATAAATCCAAGGCAGAGAGTGTTAATGAACAATCTTAGCCCTGATCAGAAAAAACAGGAGGAATAAACACATGGGATCTGTATTCAGCTTTGTGTGTGTGTGAGTTTCTGATTTGTTAGTGAGCGAGAGTAAGCGAGAGAGAGAGAGAGTGGTAACTGCATGACCCCATCGCTCAATAGAGATGATTTTTTCCCATAAATCAGACGAGGCAGAGAGGGAAAGAGTGCGAGAGAGACAGAGAGAGTGATTCAGCTGTGGGAGTACACTGGCTCAGACCTCAGTTGAGAAGCCAGGGAAACTAATCGTTTCCATTCACCTCAATGAGTCCGGCTGCTCTCCTCTGTGGTCCTGAATGCAAAGAAATCCTCATCTTCTCTCCACCTCTCACTCCATCAGCCCTCCACCCCCTTTTCCTTCACTATCCCTTCCATTTCCCTCCCTTTCCTTCTCTACCTCTCGCCAAATGATCAGTGCATCCTGTCCTGTATCAGTTCCTGTAGCGGCACTGACACGGTGATTATTCTATCACAGAGAATCGCACGTGGCAGCATTTCATGGGCACCTGGACACTTTTCATAAATCTTGCAAGGCAGAGGTGAACTGCAGAGGAAGCAGAGCTCATTGTGTGACAGACCAGGAAAGAACTGGTACTCAAAAGCCTCATTTAGCCTAAAGAGAGATATAGACTAAATAAATTGCTTGAGGTTGCGAGGGTGCTGAAACTCATATAGTGATTAGAGATGGCAATATGTTTTCTGTCACTTGTAGGAAATCGAAAATGTCGTGTAATCTCTGTACATATACCAGCAAAATGGATAAGGCCTAGTAATCAATACACTTGCTGAGTGGATAAAGTGCATCCCTTTCTCTCCACTTGTCGGTGCAACTGGCAACGTTTGAATTATAGTTTCATATGTTTCACTGTAATGAGTACAATTGGGCCTGACTCTGCTTCTCTTCAATAATTCAGAACCAACCTGAGACATGAAGCAATATTCTGAATCTGCAATCGGGAATTATTCCTGCAGTCACTCGTTTTTCTATGTCTGTCTTTCTCACTAAGTCTGATACACTCTTTCAGACTAGTTTTTCTCTTTTTTCATACTGTATCCTGTACGATGAAAAATTGCAGCACTCTCACTCACTCATACACATGCAGTACACATTCACAGTATGGTCACATAAATGTGTATTGCTGGCTTTGACTTGGTTCAGGATGAATTGATGATAAATTCTATAGGACACATTAAGTTTAAGAAGGATGGTACCTATGTGCCCAGGCATTCTCTAAAATTCACCATCACAAACAAAAACAGAAGGTTCTTGAATAGTGTATTCTACCATGTAATAGAAGTTCAGACTTTGTTACTGAGCCTTGACCTGTACTCAGGAATATATATAGTAGGCAAGTATAAAGGCAAAAAAGGCAGGCCAGTGTTAACATGAAGCCACTAATATTGAGAAAAGTCCTCATGCTGGTGTTTTATTCTATTTGACTATTCCAAATACAGTGCAGCACAAACAGAAGTCTTTACTTAAACATCCAGTTCTCTATCCATTTCCACTAGGACACATCAATCAGCCATTTCTAGTCAAGTCCCATATGCACGACTGTTTCAAGCTCAGATGAAAGTGCAGTGATGCACTATTTTGAATGCTTTGTGGTCTGAATAAACCAGAACCTACTCTGTTTAAACCACAGTGCTTCCATTTGAATTCTATTGAAGATGCAGGCTCTGTGCACTGTATGTTTTTTTACATCTTTACACACATGTACAAGTATTACGGTCATGTTGTAGAATTAATGTATGCTTATGTTAGAGAGCCTGTGTGTTGATGTATGTGCCTGTGCTGCTGCAGTGCTAATGAGAGACTAGGGGTTTCAGGGTTTCAGGTGCTGGTGCTTTGAGAGAGGAGGTGAGTGACAGGGCTCATGAATAGTGATGGCCGACAGCTGCTCATTAACCAAGAGACTGTCTGTCAGCAAGCAGGCTGGAACAGCAGCCCTTCCCCTATGTGTACACACACTTGCACATAACACACAAAAGCATGAAAATACATATACATGCACACAAGACCATGCAGATGTGCTCACGACCAGCGCACATACCGACACAGAGTTCATATCTCCTTCATGTGTGTCCCCTGTGCCTTCTGTGGAGCGGAG